TGATTCGAAAAGACTGTGCCTTATAGAAGCTGTCTTTTGGTGGAGGTCTTTGATGAAGGTGTTCCATAAAGAATCAAATTCGGTTTGCTAGCAATTTCTGGCAACGGAGGGCTGGAACAATGAGGAAACCAATTTCAAAGAAGGTTTTATTGATAACCTCGTACTACAAAATCAATCATCAAGGAAATATGTTAGACGACTGTCGTGGTCGCCAGCTTTTCATCAAACTTTCTTAGAATTACATCGTGAGAAAAAAGTATATTGCATTCTATGAAAAAAGAATATAAACCAGAGCAGTGATTACAATAACAGCGCAGAAGTGTAGAGTACTCTTCTGGCGATCAAAGGAAGTTACTACTGAAACTAACATAAACTGCTATTATGCACTCTGATGGCATTTGTATTAGGTCGTTCTATAAGTATTGTCATTGGAGCGATAAACGCCCAGTTTATTAGTCAGAAGTAACTAAAATTGCATGCTTTTAGTAACGTACAACTTGTCTATATTTGCTCTAACCCCTGAGGGACCACGTGGTACACGACAGTCTAATGGCCTTTCTCGCTGGATAAAAGTTTTCCCCCTGACATTTTGCAATCATTCGAAAGCTTGAATCTATGCAATTCCAGTGTGATTTCCACTCATCTTGCTTCATTTGCTCGGCTGGGGCTTCGCTATGGCTCCTCACTAAAGTTTTACTAGTCACTGATAGCCTAAGTCTCAAGATTTTGATGATAAAAGTGGGTTTTTTTTCTGAAAGTTAGTCATAGAATCTGTAAGAGCGACAAGAAGATTACATTTCACGCTTCAGATATTACCCCTCCGCATGAATGTTCATAAGTCGTTTATTGGATTTTGTAGGTGAAGTTTATACGTCAGAGGTATTTCATCGTTAGTGAAAGATGGATTATTGCGGATGGAGTTTTACAAAGGTTTTTTTCATATAAAGAGTGACTAATCATCCTGAAAATTTTCATTCTTCAGTGGTAAAGCCAGAGCTTTGTAAAATACAGAAAAAACAAATTTCCGACCCTTCTTGCGTCTTAATCTTCTGCCATTAAACAACTCTAATAGTAATCTGTGTAGATGAATTATAGTATGCGGCTGGACGAAGTGTAGGAAGAGCGCGTATTTATCATCGCGAAGATTCCTTGGTACTTTTCCCCTATGCGCGCAGCCATATTTAGCAAGACATGTATCTTATTCTTTTTTGATTTTTAGTAAACGATCGATTAGTCGAATCTTTGGAAATTCGAATAGCGCATTTTTGTTTAAATGTTTTTATATTATGCTTTAAAAATTATATTTCACACTCAGGCATCTTTCGCTGGACATAGCTTTTCATTCAGACGCCCAATAACTGTTCGATATCCCAAATATCAGCGATTCCCATGAAGTGCCTGATTTCTAAGAAGGACTTTTTAGTGCGGTGTTACAGCTCAGAGAATATTGAGTTACGCACACTGCGCCCTGTCAATCGCTGCATGCATGACCATTTTTAATAAATTAGCAGTTGTATTCCAATCTTTATTCACTATGATAACTCGTCGGTATTATATAAGACTACGGAAGGTCAAAACTAAAGATCTTCGATGTAATTTCCTTTGTGGAACGCAATACATTTGATTGAATGCTAAATTCAGTATGATTGCGTAGTAAATTAGCGTTTTTTCTATAAACAAGGCACATATATCTAAGCCAAAAGTATATTAGCGAGTTGTGAAAATTTTTTTTGTACAAAACCGAGAAAAAACCTCAATCAAACAACGAAAATCACTCATTTCGCTCTGCGCGCATTGATTTTTATAGCAGTCCCTTACGCTTCCTACTTATGCACGAATGGAGAACGTAGGAGAAGTAAAATGCTAGCGAAGCGGTGCCCAAGATTAATGAAGTTTGAAGCGATGATACGGTTGCAGAAAGGGCGGCTATGAAGTGGTCCGCCAAGTTCAAAGCTGTAGCGAACACTCTGAAAGACCCAGTCGGCCAAGGTCTTCCACAAGAAGCTTTGTTAATCTTGCGCCCCTTTTATTAATATTTCGCTATGCACCATTCGTGCATGAGTAGTAAGCGAATTCCATCCACGACAGCTCCATCTCAAGCAAGCATAGACATGTTGTTTACTAAAATGTTTGCAAGAAAATGCGTGTTTTGAGCGATACCAAAACCATGCAATTTTAGTTTATTGTGGTTAACAAATTTGATAGCTATTGCTCAAGTGCCAAAACTTATGGGACGACCTTGATAATCGAGTTTAGTTATGTCGAAATGATCTAACACGGTGAAATCCTTTTGAAGGTCTGAATTCTCGCTTAGCTACAATACCACTCGTTGAATGGTTTATTGATCTTGCTAAGATAAATAGAGTAAGCAGTTGGTAGACTACCAAACTGATTGCCCGATACTTGCTGATATCGCATAAGTCTCCCCTTTTATGAACGATAATGCTAGTTTCTCATCGCCTCATAACCATTAAAGAACCATCAATAAGGCATTAAATGATAATTGGTACTTCTATGATGCGTCATAATTTGGGCTCCGTTAAAGATTCTAAAAGTGATCAAATAAATATTATGATATATGAGGCTTGTCGATGCATCACTACCACCAGAACTTTGATGCATTAAGCGCTAAGTTTACGAAACGTTGAACCTCAATTGACAACCGACTTCCCTTTAATTTCGAACGTACTAAACAATCGTATCTTTCATGTCGTCTGGGCCAGTTTTACGAATTTCATTCAAAACAAATTTACTTTGTCAACGTTTTGACGTGTAAGAGGAGCGATGCCGGATAAGGGTTATCATTTTAGCGATGCTCCTCCGGAAACGGTCCGTCTCGTTAAAAAAAGCAGGCGAAGACCAAAGCAAGGGTGAACAATTGTGGAGCATCAAGTTCGATGAATCGGCTCTGAAGACGGACAACTGAAGAAGACGAAATGTGTTAAAACGTTAGACAAATATTTTTTTCATACTTTGTAATAATTTCGTGAAACTGGCTCAATCAACGAAGATGATACGCATGAGTCTAATCCTGTCAGAATAGCGTTCCATGAAGTGAGATGATATAGCATACTAGATTTTGAACGTAAGATCCACTATGTTAACTATCCATTCTCTTCGTCTTTAATCACTCCTGACGCCATCTCTATTTTTCTCTCCGCAGGTAGAGACGACGTCTAACTTTTGTGTTATACGGGCTTGATGGTTTTCAACAATAAAAAATAATTTTCCAGTAGTTACCTGTCAATTTACTCGTCAATGGAATCGTTTTAGAAGACTTTTTGTAAGATTCTGTTCAAATAAAATCTCCTAGCCCGATGTCTACTCTAACGTATGTGTTGGATGGGCTATCCGATAACTACAGAAATTATGCTAGAATGTTCTGTGGGTTTGAATAAATCACTACGAGGTAATTGACTCACGTATAGCTCGCGGCCACTCACCGCGCCTCCTAAAGACACTATGGTGTCTGTAACCGACGTCACGAGGTAATATGAAATCAGGTCGGCTTAGCTATCGAGTAAGTCACGATTCAAATCGCTGCTTGTTTCTCCTTTTCCTTTCCTGTTCAAAAGATTATTTTATGCAGAGATTGACGAGCTATTGCTGGTCTTGTAATTCATGATTTCTCATCGAGTACTCCACCTACTTTTTTGTTTTTTGCACCACTAGCGAGGAAAATTCCTGCTTTTCTCATTCCTTTGTGTGATTGCCTCCATAATTTTGTTAGTTCCGATGTGCCTTGCATGCTGGATGTTTATGAAAAGCAAATTTTGGAAAATCTAATGACGTCTGTATATAGGTTTTCAGGAATTTTCTTGAAGAATTGTAACGTACAAGCCAACACACACACACACACACACTCACACACACACACACACACACACACACACACACACACACACACACACACACACACACACACTCACACACACACACACACACACACACACACACACACACTCACACACACACACACACACACACACACACACACACACACACACACACACACACCACACACACACACACACACACACACACACACACACACACACACACACACACACACACACACACCACACACACACACACACAACACACAACAACAACAACAACAACAACAACAACAACAACAAAGATAGACGCCATATCAGAATTTATTTTCTTTTAAAGAAAGAATAGAACGTTTTTCATTTACTTCCAATCCACTATCTATTGTCTATGAGCGCATCGCGTAGCCACCGTGGCTAACCAGTTGAGCATACCTCAATCAATAGGATCGAAAGTATATTTTGGAAGCGTTTTCAAGTTTCCTGCTATATATTTTGTCATTTTTGATTTGTGGACAGAGGTAAAACCTAGGAAGGGATTCAAAAATTTGATTTTTTTTCTATTTCACTAATTCGTATTGTGCGGAGAAAGGGTAAAGGAAATATCAGCTTAGCCAAAATGTTAAGAAATCTTCTCATAAGACTTCAGATAAAATTTTTGTAAGACCATTTATTGAGTTAGAATTTTTTGGGTCATTCCAATGATATAGTTTTCTTATTTTTACTGCATTCTTGTGAAAGGTGAAATAAAGGCTAGAGAATAACGCTATTGGTGTTAATCAATCCCTGGAAAGTGCGCCATTCAGTACACTTTACCAAGCTTCGTAGAGGTAGTTAAAAAAATCTTTTTTGACGGAAGATTGACAAGTAAGCGGTGGCCTCGGTGGTGTAGTGGTAGCACGCGCTCCCGGTATGGATGAAACGACGATCAACTCTCAAATGAGGTCGACTTTTTGCTCATCACTCAATTCTCTTAGGTATACTTGAAACATCGTAACACTGCGAAAAAACAGGAAAAACTTAAGAGTTTTTGGATTCATATCACTACAATGGTTGTCATTCTAACTGGGTTTATAGAACGATTGCTTAACTAATCAGATGTGTTAGAGGATGGTGGATGATAGCTATGACAGAGAGATCTTGAAGCATGAGTGATGGGTAAGCTGTGCCTCGGTGGTGTAGTGGTAGCACGGGCCCCCGTTATGGGTAAAACGCGGGTTCAACTCCAGATTGAGATCGAGTTTTCTGTCGCCACTCAATTTTCTTAGGTTTTTCTTGTTTTTATGAAACTTCTTGTTATGTCAATATTGTTTTCACACCGAGGTTGGAAATGAGAAACAGCAGAATTTGTTTTAGTCTCCAACCAGAGTCCACGAGTATAATTCAGTTTATTTCAAACTTAAGGCGATCCGCTTGATCTAGAGTTCCCCTCATAAGTGATACCGTTGAATAGTTCGCTATTCTAATGTCAGCCTCCAAATAGCCGTATTGAAAAGATGTTACAGAATACCGAATCGCAATATAAAGCAGAATGTTTATCCTTTTGCACGCATTCAATCTATGATCACATTCGTATGCGGAAAACATTTCCATTAGAATGAACATATGCAGTGAATTGCCGCTGTCATTAGAAAAAAAAAAACCGTCGCATAGCAAAAACCTTTCTGCAAGCCACCAAGGTCAGCTACGATGTGTGCTTGTTTAAAATGAAAACCCTTTCACATGACATTTCCAGAATTCAAGGAAAGAACTTGCTCATTCATAGGAAATCACATAGAAAAGAACTATGGTCAATGTCCTATAGGAGGAGTACTTTAGCTATCAAGTAATTCAGTATTAGGAATGAAAACGCTGACTATTCGTGAGAACAATTTTTCTGCTGGTCTTTAACAATCCGTGATAGAAGAATGCAAATTCTTTTACGATAAGAGAAGTTTTTACATGTGAGTCGTATTGTAGTTTTGGTAGTTGAAGCCTAAGTCTCAAATTTCGGCCAACCTGAGGCATTGGAAAGTGAGATATTCTCGCCGCTTTAATTCGATCTATTTCCTTATAAAACAGACATTTGAAAAAGCATGTCGTAGGGAGTGCTCGACTAGGATTGATTACAGACGACGAATGTGATAATTTCAAAAGTATGTGAACGTGCTTGACAGACTGGGAGATAAAGTAGTTGAGTAAAAGCTAAAATAAGGATAGATATCAAAGAGAATGAGAAAAATTGAAAAAGGCAAAGTACTGATAAGAGACAGCATTTTTTACATGAGTATATTCAGTGCAATTAATCATTGCTGGATGTACGGCTGAAGTCATACAACTTCACCCTCTATTACGTTACTTCGAAAGTGATCTTGTTGTAATAAAATTTGTAGTCTCACTCGAAAGGCATTTTATACACTAATCTCGGCACCCTCTACACCTCAGTTCTTATTTACTGCCAAGTACCTATTATACTTGCCTATAAATCGTTTTTGAACACTTAGTTCATGAAAAGGCGGCGCTGTGGTCGCCAGCACTCAACAAGAAAAGCCTCATAACCCCAACTAGGCTATCCTCGAGACTGCAATGAGATTCCCGCAACCAGTATTCTGCGGCATTCAAGAAGATGACGGCAAGCTGCTGAATCCTAGAAGTAGTGGAATCTGTACAGTGAAAAAAAAAACACTGTGAAGACGAATAGTAAAGTACGAAGTTTGTTAAAAAATGTACACTGGTTGAATATGAGCACAAAAGTTAATAATTTTGTGTGATTTCCCCTCACGAGTTCAAATTTCTGTACGCACCGCCGCGAAAACACTTTGATTTGATATCAAAGAACGAAGTCATGGCAGACGCTTCGAGATCCAAATTGTAGGATAAGGAAGTTTCTTAGAGAATGGATATGTAAATATCCTATAAACTGTTTTTCTTTCAAATTGATCTGATATAAAAGAACAAAGTCAATGACGATAAAAGAACAATGACGAACGCTTCCGAATCCAGATTGTAGACTAAAAAAGTTTCTTAAGGAATATGTAAATATCATAGGAACTGTTTTCTTTCAAATTTGTTCTAAGTCGGTATGCTGACTGTCGTTTCAGCGATATCGCCTCCCTCAAAGCCGTATGATTCTTCAGAGTAAAACGAGAAAAGTTAAATGCCTCTAAGGGAGACGAAATCGCCGAAACATTGGCCATCGCTCTTGAAGAAGATATATCAACTTCACATGAACTTGAGAGAACTATAGTTCATTAGGCAGTTTTTGACGATCGATGGCAAGATTCAATGAAAGTTGGCCTTTTGATTAATTGGAAGATATGGCTGTTCATAGAGAAAAAGGTCACGAGCGTTTATTAGCAGTTGTTGACGACAATCTAAGGAAGTAATCAAAAGTCAGCCTTCTAAAAATTCCTTGGGAGGTCACAAAAGAATCTGCACTCCTTTCAATCAAAGTAAAACCTTTTATTAGTAATTTGCATTTGAACTGAGAAATGATCCTGCACGACAGTCCAAGATGAGAGCTTGAATTTTTTTTTAAGAGAAATCGCAACAATAGATGGTTGTAATGATTTTTGGTAGACTGCTAGAGCTTCGTTGAAGAGTTCGTTGATAGTCTTTAGAGATCTTTTCTTACGACAACGCTTCACGACCATGCACAACTTATGCAAACTGGTTTACAATTGCCTTCTCAGGAAAAGTATTTTAACATATCATTTAGTACTTTTTCAAACTTATCAACCTATAACGCATATGTGGAAGATTCACCTATCGATATCCTGCTCAGGGAGTTTTCGGAGGATGCTATAATTATACAATTCAGAAATTCTGTGCTATGGCAATAGGTAATTTATTAGCAAAAGCGTATGGATTCTTATTGCTCCTGAATTGACTGGAAATTTTGCGTTTGAGCCGTCTTCAAAAAGTGTTGCTCCTATTTGGTATCATTTTCGTGGAAATCTAACTGGCACTAGATGTAAAGACCTGAGAAAGAGCGTAAGGTCAAGTAGGATCTTGAACAAATTGATTTTTTTTATGGCTGTCCGCTTTGGTTCTCTTGTTAATCTTCACTCCTTAGCCGCACCGCGTTCAACTTTTCAGTTTATGTTACACTTCGACCGTAAATCTACACCTTCTACTAAATATTGTAAACATTGGGGGGGAGTATGAAACAGGTTCGTAAAAGGTTTTTTCAATCACGAAACCCACGACCCCGTGATGGATTTGTGGCCTTTTCCGAGGCAGCGGATTTCTTATTCTCCGATCGCTTCTGTCTTATGAATTGTTAGCCTCTTTATTATCGCCAACTTATTTTGCATAAGAAACGATTGACGTATTTCATCTTAACAGATCTCATGCCTTTCATTTTCATTTTGTTTTCATATTTGTTGTATGTATTGGAAGTCCCACGTGCACTAGTAGTTAGAAGTGCTTCCGGAATACACTCGTGGTCGTTTGTTTGATTACCTCACCAAGTCTTCCATCTCTCCGAGGCGGTGATTTAGTATTAGACTTAGCTGGAGAGGAAGTGGCTGGCCTGACAAATCGGTTTCTCGTTGAAATCGTTGTATAAGTCAGATATGAATTTAATCACCTTCAAAGATGGCTTGGTGAATTTGAATGCATGGTGCCTCCCTCGGGTTGATCGGCGGAACACTTTTCTATTATGTTTAGGGGAACATTTCTGGTACGATGTAATCAAAGCTTAGCTCTTAGTAAGATTGATTTTGTTCAAGTTGTTTACTTTTTTGACCTAAGACTGTAAGGATCACATATTTCCTAAATAGTTCGTTTTGATGTACTGCATTCGTCAACTATGATGGCTTCGGATTTATGGGTGGGTTCGGTTGCCACTTGATGTCTTCGCCTTCTCCACGAATGATTCTCGATAGAATTCTGGAAAGCGCGCGGTGAAGGGCTCCAAGTTTTCAGTAATGTAATCTTTTCAGTGGCCTTTATTGCAGACTCCCATGGTGCTAATTAAGTGACCTTGTAAAGATGAAAGGGTCAGCTGGCTCAGGATCAGATCGATTTAAAGAACATCCGTGTATTTCGCTACATATCTAGCTATTGTGTTATTCTATATTTTTCCATACATTGACAGTATACAGAATTCCAGTGTACTTTCAACAAATTCACCCTAACCACATTTTCGATATTTCATCGTAATAGTAACGCCGTCATCAGAAGTTTTGTAGTCTACGAAGAAAGCCTAGAACTTGTGACGATAGTACGAAAGTGTCACTCTTGTTAAGTCGTCTAGCATCTCGACTTTGATCAGGAGAGAGCAAGGCAGATCATTTTGTTTCGCTAATGACACTGGGTAATAAATAATTTCTTCAACTGGGGTTCTCATAGATCTTTTGCAGTCCTTTTCGCTGGCGTCTGCCCTGTTAAAAACCGCACGACCTTTCCACTCTCCAGAAATACATCATCAGCTGAGATAATAATCGTATGTACTTAACCAATCAAAAGCGCCCACGTGCATCGTGGTTAGAGGTTCTATGCGTCGCATACAGGGTCAATGACCCGATCTCGCACTATCCATCCCTCCGGGGTCGTTAAACTGGTACCAGACTTGTTGCACACACGTCTGTGAAAATAAGCAGTACCAACTCAGTACAGCGAAAGCCACCGCGAGTTATTTTAAAGGCCAGATACGCATTCAGTCACCTCACTCTTGGCGATTTCTTCGATCCGTCACAGCAGTGTTTTTTTTTCACTGAGCGGATCCCTGTACTTTTAGCACTTAGTTCGTTTTTCGTCTTCTTCTTGAACGGCGTAGAATGCTGGTTAGGCGAGTCTCCTTGCAATCTCGTGGATAGCCATCCTGTGGAGTTCCATAGAGCGGTGTGTTGACTGCAGGAGAGGTGGGCTGGAACTTGGCACCACATGCGCCGTCGTTAGCTTCAGAACCACTCGGCCACGGCGCTCCCAATCACCTTAGGCGAAGTCAAAAATAGAAGACGAATGCATGGCACATCCCTCAGAGATTGATCAACGCCGAAAGCTTCATCCTTGATCCTTAACCAATTAAAATTCATCCTACACAGTTAAGTAATCGCTTTTGACGGTAGTATGAAGTCATAAATATGTATGATATTAAGTGATATGCAAAACTATTATGCAAAACTATTATGCAAAACTAGTATGCCAATGATATTAAGTGATATGCAAAACTTTAGATGCCGGACGAGATTCAGATCCACACTTCAGTCTCTCCGGGTTTCATGTGCTAACCACTGCGCTATCAACGCTCCTA